TCTATGCAGTGAAGGGCATTACTGTGTTTTAACGCAGTATAGGGCAAGGCTGTGTCTATGCAGTGAAGGGCATTACTGTGTTTTAACGCAGTACAGGGCAAGGCTGTCTATGCAGTGAAGGGCATTACTGTGTTTTAACGCAGTACAGGGCAAGGCTGTGTCTATGCAGTGAAGGGCATTACTGTGTTTTAACGCAGTATAGGGCAAGGCTGTGTATATGCAGTGAAGGGCATTACTGTGTTTTAACGCAGTGAAGGGCAAGGCTGTGTCTATGCAGTGAAGGGCATTACTGTGTTTTAACGCAGTATAGGGCAAGGCTGTGTCTATGCAGTGAAGGGCATTACTGTGTTTTAACGCAGTATAGGGCAAGGCTGTGTCTATGCAGTGAAGGGCATTACTGTGTTTTAACGCAGTATAGGGCAAGGCTGTGTCTATGCAGTGAAGGGCATTACTGTGTTTTAACGCAGTACAGGGCAAGGCTGTCTATGCAGTGAAGGGCATTACTGTGTTTTAACGCAGTATAGAGCAAGGCTGTGTCTATGCAGTGAAGGGCATTACTGTGTTTTAACGCAGTATAGGGCAAGGCTGTGTCTATGCAGTGAAGGGCATTACTGTGTTTTAACGCAGTATAGGGCAAGACTGTCTATGCAGTGAAGGCCATTACTGTGTTTTAACGCAGTATAGGGCAAGGCTGTGTATATGCAGTGAAGGGCATTACTGTGTTTTAACGCAGTGAAGGGCAAGGCTGTCTATGCAGTGAAGGGCATTACTGTGTTTTAACGCAGTATAGGGCAAGGCTGTCTATGCAGTGAAGGGCATTACTGTGTTTTAACGCAGTACAGGGCAAGGCTGTCTATGCAGTGAAGGGCATTACTGTGTTTTAACGCAGTATAGGGCAAGGCTGTCTATGCAGTGAAGGGCATTACTGTGTTTTAACGCAGTGAAGGGCAAGGCTGTCTATGCAGTGAAGGGCATTACTGTGTTTTAACGCAGTACAGGGCAAGGCTGTGTCTATGCAGTGAAGGGCATTACTGTTTTAACGCAGTACAGGGCAAGGCTGTCTATGCAGTGAAGGGCATTACTGTGTTTTTAACGCAGTACAGGGCAAGGCTGTCTATGCAGTGAAGGGCATTACTGTGTTTTAACGCAGTACAGGGCAAGGCTGTGTCTATGCAGTGAAGGGCATTACTGTGTTTTTAACGCAGTATAGGGCAAGGCTGTCTATGCAGTGAAGGGCATTACTGTGTTTTAACGCAGTACAGGGCAAGGCTGTGTCTATGCAGTGAAGGGCATTACTGTGTTTTAACGCAGTACAGGGCAAGGCTGTCTATGCAGTGAAGGGCATTACTGTGTTTTAACGCAGTACAGGGCAAGACTGTCTATGCAGTGAAGGGCATTACTGTGTTTTAACGCAGTACAGGGCAAGGCTGTGTCTATGCAGTGAAGGGCATTACTGTGTTTTAACGCAGTACAGGGCAAGGCTGTCTATGCAGTGAAGGGCATTACTGTGTTTTAACGCAGTACAGGGCAAGGCTGTGTCTATGCAGTGAATGGCATTACTGTGTTTTAACGCAGTACAGGGCAAGGCTGTCTATGCAGTGAAGGGCATTACTGTGTTTTAACGCAGTACAGGGCAAGGCTGTGTCTATGCAGTGAAGGGCATTACTGTGTTTTAACGCAGTACAGGGCAAGGCTGTCTTTGCAGTGAAGGGCATTACTGTGTTTTAACGCAGTACAGGGCAAGGCTGTCTATGCAGTGAAGGGCATTACTGTGTTTTAACGCAGTACAGGGCAAGGCTGTCTATGCAGTGAAGGGCATTACTGTGTTTTAACGCAGTACAGGGCAAGGCTGTGTCTATGCAGTGAAGGGCATTACTGTGTTTTAACGCAGTACAGGGCAAGGCTGTGTCTATGCAGTGAAGGGCATTACTGTGTTTTAACGCAGTACAGGGCAAGGCTGTCTATGCAGTGAAGGGCATTACTGTGTTTTAACGCAGTACAGGGCAAGGCTGTATCTATGCAGTGAAGGGCATTACTGTGTTTTAACGCAGTACAGGGCAAGGCTGTCTATGCAGTGAAGGGCATTACTGTGTTTAACGCAGTACAGGGCAAGGCTGTGTCTATGCAGTGAAGGGCATTACTGTGTTTTAACGCAGTACAGGGCAAGGCTGTCTATGCAGTGAAGGGCATTACTGTGTTTTAACGCAGTATAGGGCAAGGCTGTGTCTATGCAGTGAAGGGCATTACTGTGTTTTAACGCAGTATAGGGCAAGGCTGTGTCTATGCAGTGAAGGGCATTACTGTGGTTTAACGCAGTATAGGGCAAGACTGTCTATGCAGTGAAGGCCATTACTGTGTTTTAACGCAGTATAGGGCAAGGCTGTGTATATGCAGTGAAGGGCATTACTGTGTTTTAACGCAGTGAAGGGCAAGGCTGTCTATGCAGTGAAGGGCATTACTGTGTTTTAACGCAGTACAGGGCAAGGCTGTCTATGCAGTGAAGGGCATTACTGTGTTTTAACGCAGTATAGGGCAAGGCTGTGTCTATGCAGTGAAGGGCATTACTGTGTTTTAACGCAGTATAGGGCAAGGCTGTGTCTATGCAGTGAAGGGCATTACTGTGTTTTAACGCAGTATAGGGCAAGACTGTCTATGCAGTGAAGGCCATTACTGTGTTTTAACGCAGTATAGGGCAAGGCTGTGTATATGCAGTGAAGGGCATTACTGTGTTTTAACGCAGTGAAGGGCAAGGCTGTCTATGCAGTGAAGGGCATTACTGTGTTTTAACGCAGTATAGGGCAAGGCTGTCTATGCAGTGAAGGGCATTACTGTGTTTTAACGCAGTACAGGGCAAGGCTGTCTATGCAGTGAAGGGCATTACTGTGTTTTAACGCAGTATAGGGCAAGGCTGTCTATGCAGTGAAGGGCATTACTGTGTTTTAACGCAGTGAAGGGCAAGGCTGTCTATGCAGTGAAGGGCATTACTGTGTTTTAACGCAGTACAGGGCAAGGCTGTGTCTATGCAGTGAAGGGCATTACTGTTTTAACGCAGTACAGGGCAAGGCTGTCTATGCAGTGAAGGGCATTACTGTGTTTTAACGCAGTACAGGGCAAGGCTGTCTATGCAGTGAAGGGCATTACTGTGTTTTAACGCAGTACAGGGCAAGGCTGTGTCTATGCAGTGAAGGGCATTACTGTGTTTTAACGCAGTATAGGGCAAGGCTGTCTATGCAGTGAAGGGCATTACTGTGTTTTAACGCAGTACAGGGCAAGGCTGTGTCTATGCAGTGAAGGGCATTACTGTGTTTTAACGCAGTACAGGGCAAGGCTGTCTATGCAGTGAAGGGCATTACTGTGTTTTAACGCAGTACAGGGCAAGACTGTCTATGCAGTGAAGGGCATTACTGTGTTTTAACGCAGTACAGGGCAAGGCTGTGTCTATGCAGTGAAGGGCATTACTGTGTTTTAACGCAGTACAGGGCAGGCTGTCTATGCAGTGAAGGGCATTACTGTGTTTTAACGCAGTACAGGGCAAGGCTGTGTCTATGCAGTGAATGGCATTACTGTGTTTTAACGCAGTACAGGGCAAGGCTGTCTATGCAGTGAAGGGCATTACTGTGTTTTAACGCAGTACAGGGCAAGGCTGTGTCTATGCAGTGAAGGGCATTACTGTGTTTTAACGCAGTACAGGGCAAGGCTGTCTTTGCAGTGAAGGGCATTACTGTGTTTTAACGCAGTACAGGGCAAGGCTGTCTATGCAGTGAAGGGCATTACTGTGTTTTAACGCAGTACAGGGCAAGGCTGTCTATGCAGTGAAGGGCATTACTGTGTTTAACGCAGTACAGGGCAAGGCTGTGTCTATGCAGTGAAGGGCATTTACTGTGTTTTTAACGCAGTACAGGGCAAGGCTGTGTCTATGCAGTGAAGGGCATTACTGTGTTTTAACGCAGTACAGGGCAAGGCTGTCTATGCAGTGAAGGGCATTACTGTGTTTTAACGCAGTACAGGGCAAGGCTGTGTCTATGCAGTGAAGGGCATTACTGTGTTTTAACGCAGTACAGGGCAAGGCTGTCTTTGCAGTGAAGGCATTACTGTGTTTTAACGCAGTACAGGGCAAGGCTGTCTTTGCAGTGAAGGGCATTACTGTGTTTTAACGCAGTACAGGGCAAGGCTGTGTCTATGCAGTGAAGGGCATTACTGTGTTTTAACGCAGTACAGGGCAAGACTGTCTATGCAGTGAAGGGCATTACTGTGTTTAACGCAGTACAGGGCAAGGCTGTGCTGTGAAGGGGCAAGGCCGCCGAACCGGAGCGAGGCCTGGTGGCTCCGTTACCTCGACCCGTGACTACGACATTGATGACGGTGGCGACGGCGGTGGTGGTGATGCTGGTGGTGCTGGTGATGATGCTGGTGGTGGTGATGATGGTGTTGGTGGTGATGATGATGATGGTGTTAGTGGTGATGATGGTGTTGGTGGTGATGATGGTGTTGGTGGTGATGGTGGTGATGATGATGATGCTGGTGGTGATGATGGTGTTGGTGGTGATGATGGTGATGGTGGTGATGATGATGGTGGCGATGATGATGCTGGCGATGATGATGCTGGTGACGATGATGGTGACGATGATGGTGGTGTTGGTGGTGATGATGGTGGTGTTGGTGGTGATGATGGTGGTGGTGATGATGGTGCTGATGGTGGTGGTGGTGTTGGTGGTGGTGATGATGGTGGCGGTGATGGTGGCGGTGACGATGATGATGGTGACGATGATGGTGGTGACGATGATGATGGTGGTGACGATGCTGGTGGTGTGGGTGACGATGGTGATGATGACATCGCCACCGTGCCGCGTAACACACAAACCCCCACTCGCGGTGAACATCATCATCATCGTCATCGCGTGTAACTGAACCCCACTCGCCTCTCCCCCCCTCACCACATCATCTTCTCCCCTCACCACCAAATGTCTCTCACCCCTCACTCCTTCACCTCCTCCTCTTACCTCGTCCACTCCTCGGCGATCAAATCCTCCCCCTCCTCCTCCTCCTCGTCGTCGTCGTCGTCACCCCCACAGCGCAATGTTCACGCAGCCACACGTCCCGGATACGGACGATGATGATGATGGTGGTGTTGTTGTTGATGATGGTGGTGTTGTTGATGTTGTGGTTGGTGACGATTGTCGTCTTTAAACGGTGCCTGACACCGATCACTGTTATTAATATTACTCACGTGTCGCGATGATAGTCGATGTTAGCGAGTAGCCGTTGTCGGCAACGTGATGTGATGTCAATGTTATCCAAGGCGCTGCTGATACCCGTTGCTACTGTATCTTACAACGGAATTGACGATATCGGCGATGCTTTCTGTATCGATGGTAACCACCGACAATATTGATGGCGTTATCGATGACGGTGCAAATTGCGTTCGTGACCTTACTGCCGAGATGCTGCTGGTTGTATGCGTGAAAATAATATCGGTGGATTATTTGGTGATAATTGTTATATTGTCGCTCGCGGTCGCCTTGCCGATGATGAGGTGTTGATGTCTCCGGCCTCCGCACGCCACTCCTCCCGAGGGCCACGCGCCGAGGTGACGTCACCGAGGGGCGGGGCTGGGGAGCTGGTTCAGGGGGGGGGGGGTGGTGAACTCCCCCACCCCTCCACCCACCCCCCACCACCATGTCTCCCAACACAAAGTGGGGAGATCTTTGAGAGACGGTGGCTGGAGACACGAGGAGATGGAGATGCGCGGAGAGAGACACGATGAGATACACGGACAAACAGGCACGCTGCTTGGGAGACATGAATAGAGTAGCGCTGAAATCCACAGAGACATAGAGCGATCCACACACACGCATCAACACGGAGCTAGAGACATTGATACAAAGACAGACACACACACAGATAATAATGCACAGAGAGATGCAAATATACAGAGACACGAAGGGACAGTCAAATATATATGTAAGGAGATACACTCAGATGCAGACACATGAACACACAAAATGCAGCCATAAAGAATGCAAATATAGACATGGATATGGGTAAAGACACAGAGAGACAAACAGGGAGATATACCTACAATCATTTATGGATGCAATATTAATTGGCTGTTCGATTTAAATTAGATTTTATTAGGATCTAAATTCCAGCGGATATGTGATTCACCACTATTCTTTTTCTAATCAAGGGCCCCTTTAACTGCCAGAGGCCTCGAGCGTTTGCTTAGTTTGCTTGTGCTTTGCGGATTATGATGGTGCACTAAGTGACTCTCTTACCAGCAATTGAACTTGCGACCATTCACTTGTGAGCTCAATGCTCTGACCACAGCAGCACCACCACCACCACCCGAGTTGACACTATAATACAGTGCCAGTTCTTTATTTAGCAAGGACTTGCTGAGTCTCAACACTATTTTTAGGAGGGCCCTGCTCGGGGTATTTATTCAATCCCCTTATTGGTATATATTTGTTCTTGCACAGAGAGAAACCATGGCGCATGGAAAAAACCCTTCACACGTGGGGAGACAACGTTGAAAATCCGATACGTGATGGACAGACGGGTAACCTACTTTGCTGAAAACTTGTTATCGTGCCCTGACACGGCGACTGGAAATACGATGAGAGGGCACTCAAGAAATAAGGGCCACTCACCAAGACATGGCCAACACAGTCAATCAGCAGGGGTTACTTAACGTCAAGAGCTCAGATTCCTTCATTGCAAAATATTTACTCGAGGTTGACAACAGACTTGAGACCTTGGGGGAATACTGGGCTCAGATTTTCATCCAGGGCCATGTTTACCTCCTACAAGTAGCAGATATTTTTGTTTCTACAAAGCTACACTTTGCATCCTATGACCTTTTAAATGAGGTCATTATATGGAGAGCCTGGCACCTACTAAAGGAACGTGGAATATCCACCAAGCTCATAGGGGAGCTATTAAGTAATGAAGGAGACGCAGGATTTCGGTTTCCTAAGCCACTCAAGTTAACTCAAAATGAGACGTCACCACCACCAGCAATATCCGTTGATGCCACTACAGCTAGCTGTCAATTCCTTCCCTCTGCTAGATCTCGCAGTTTTTGAAAAGTTTAACATTTTCTTTCACGTGGTATTTTAAAAGCATAGGACGAATTTCATGACTGCAGGTAGAGTTTGGAAAAGCCCTTCGATGGCATTTGTGGTCACCATATTGATGATTCCATTTGTACCTCCTGCAAAATAATTTAATCGGGCAATGATTGGGCATGCGAGTAATTGCTTGTACTTCGCCACAGCCAAAGTTAGGCGACTACTTAATTCCCCAATAATTGAGGAAAGCCGCACCTCCCAGGTGTAGTTCTAACACAGTTAAGTGCGGCCCAGTGTCTTCAAGATGAAATTCAGTTGACGGTTGACCTCCAAGGTCATGCTCTTACAGGGGTATCTTCCCCCTTATTCACTAGACCTTATACTAACCCACCCGTAAATTCAAACACTAGCCCTAAACTAACCATGACCATGTGCATTTATTATTTATTTGGTATTACTTCAGAGAGCAACACTCATAAATGCGACACTCAAGGTGAATCGACATTGTCAGGTGATGTTGAAACGCCACTGCGACGTGGGCGTTAATTGCGCAGGAGGGGGCAAAAGTCCGCAAGCATTGCAATAAAACAATAAAAATAAGTGCGTATATAAAACAAGACAGGATGTTATACATACACTAAGCTTTCTGCAAATGGTAGATACATGTAACCTTTGCAATCCCAGGTGATGATAACCAACCCCTTTGGCTCATGGGCTCGAAGTTAGTGTTTTTTCATTGAAGGACCTGCGGGCCACTGACAGCCCCTGGTGCCTTTAGTGCAAGTCCCTGATGTACGGCCCCCACGACAACACACAACATGTGAAAACATCCCTTGCAGGCTTTGTGACGGCCCACACAACGGATGTCTTATCAACAAAAGCGACCCCCCCCCAACCTGCTCTCAGGGAACGTCACTGGGTTGCCATTATGGAGAGAGAATAGCTGATTGAACTCAAAATAGCCCTGTTGTATTCACGTTGCATAACTTCCCATTTGAGAAACTGAATTTTCTCTTTGCAAACCCACTGTACACACTGTGTTTTTTTTTTCCCAGTAGCTTTGTGAATAAATCTGCGATTGGACAAACTTCGTCACCTGCAGCAGCTTTCTCCTGTTTATTCTTTCACACACTTTCTGAGGTCTTCTTCCCGAAAGGTATATAAAAGTAGTGTTGTTGTTACTGTAAATGTGTTTGTTCAAATATATATCACGGACATTAATATATAACCTTCCTCGTGAGTAGGTTATATTTTTCGGAAATAATTTTGTATCCATCCTATCAATCGTAATCAAATAACAGCACTTGGTCAAACTCACACAACTATATTAAACACGGAAATCCCTATCACTGTCTCTGTATCGCAATCCATCCGATGGAGTGAACTACCATCTCAACGAACGCAGGCAGCACCTTCGCTAAACACCTGCTGGCTGCCACCGAGCCCCAGTGGGCTTCACGCAAGAGCGCCGGCGCCGTACGCGCTCAACAGTCCCTCCTCCTCCTCTACGGGCGCCGTCACCGGTGGCCGCTACGGCCCGGGCCTGCTCGACCTTGGCGCGCACGCCCCGCGCGGCCAGTGCCAGCCCGGCGTGTCGCGCGCGCAGCTCCTGCAGGCGCCCGCGCAGCCGCTCGGCGCCGTCCACTGCCACCTCGAGGTCACGCAGCAGCTGGGGGCTCCCCAGCAGCCCCGCACGGCGGCGCAGGCGGGTGTTGTCAGTGCGCAGGGCGTCCCGGGCCTGCTTGGTTCTCGTGAGGGTGTCTCGTCTCTGGTGGCCAGGTAGGGGGGGAGGGGGGCGGTGGGGTAGAGGAAGTGAGAGGAGAGTTGGGAGAGAAGGGAGAGAGGGGATTGATGGGATTGATGGGTGACAGAGATGAGGGAGGGAAAATGGGTGAGGGGAAAGAGATGGTTGTTGTGGGATGAGATGTAGGGTTCTAGAGCTCGTGTTGTGGATGGACGGAGATGTTTAATGCAAACAAATGGATCATGGGCACATGGACTTAAAGAAATGAAGATAGACAGCTAAACACACAGAGATGTCGACAAACACATGGGGGGTTGATGAACACACAGGACAAAAAAAATACAAAACCAAATAAAAACATATATTGATGTACAATGACAGTCGAGGATGAAGACATGCAAACAGACACAAAAGAAAATTAAAGAACATCTGTAGAGAAAGAAGACAGCTGGAGAGGAAAAAGAAAAGGTGAATATAGACACAAACAGCCAGAGAACAGAGAAAAGACTCGTAGGAAGGCAGTGGACAAGTAGACCAATAAACACAAATAGAGGCACACAACTAAACAGATGGACAGACAACTAATAGTGGAGTTGGTGCCAGGCTGCAGCCATTCTGGGAAACAGCACCACCGCCTGGACCGTGCAGGTGAAGCAGATTCACAATTCAACTGCGGCTACTTCCATGTACAACCCTTCCGCCAATCCACTGCTGGATGACAGCCTCTCCACTTCGTCGGGATCATTTGACCATACTTCACCACGCTGGTCAATGCGGGTTTTCTGAAGGCGTGAGTATATACGTGGAAGCATGGAAGTACAATACAGCAATGGATTTGTTTTACTTCACTGGTTTTCTGTTACCAACTTAAACCATACCTAAAATAGAATAAGAAGTGATGGAAAGTCTCAGTGGGCTCATAATTATAATATTGGTGACACTGAGCTCGCACCATTCGGATTAAAATATTAAGCCATGAAGCATGGTGTGCGTTTCTCTCTCATGAGGTTGATAAGCACTGTTTTGGAGACATTCAGCTAGAATGATTCAGTGTCTGGGTTCAAGCAACATGTATGTTGAACTTCTTCGCACCGTACGTAGCCAACCGTGCTAATCGGAGCGGTAATGTGCTAAAACGTGGCTGGGTGCCTTCTCTCTCTCGCTTAGAGGGTTCACAATGGCCACGTCAGAGATAATGAGCAGGCACCACTGAGACCGTGGGTTTGATTCGTATGCTCCCACCCACACTTATCAAGTTTGCGTTTCATTGCAAGCGGATGGGAAAACAGAGGGTAGGTGTGAGCCTAGCCTGGATACGAGAGGCTATTGAAGAACCTTCTGTTAGTAGTCACACAATGTCATCTTCCGGGGTCGTTCCCCGACTCAAGGTGACGGTCCAATGGCTCAACGTGAGAGTTTGCAACAAACGAAGATTCCTGCACTTCATGACACCAAGATGCCGACGGCACAATTGGAATACAGTCTGTTCTCCTATAACGTGTGTTTTCATTAAGCGAATTGGATATAACGCGATGAATGTATTAGGGAACACATTTTTTGTAAAGCATGTGCGAATTGGATATAACGCGATTAAGTGACCAGAACTACGTCGCGCGAGTAAGAATAAGCATCACACAATTCGGGATGCTGCTGGATGCTTGTAGATGCTACCCACGTGCCTCAGTCTTTGCTCATCCTGAATACGCATCTCACGTGTTATTGTGGACTGTGCTTCACCCTATAGTGTATATTCTTTATTATAACG